TTAAATTAATTCCAAGTAGTATCATGATAGGTGTTGGATGAAATTTGTTGATTGGATTAATGTTGGTGAATGATTTGTGATGATGAATTATTTATGGTGATTTGGTGATTGGAATTAATTATATTGGCATGTTGATATTGAACCATACTTTTATTATTGGCATGTTAGAAGGCATGTTTGGCTAAACTGGATGTTTATCTTGGTTTGGTTTATGGAAGAGGAATTTTATTATGGTTCATATAATTTTTATTGATGTTATAAGCATGAGGAAAGAGCTATTTAAGTGTCTTAGTACACATGGATAAATTATATTGTGGTGCCTATGTGCACTTAAGGTGTTTCTAATACCGAGGGATAGGATTTGCGGTGCCTTATGCACTTAAGGTGTTATTTAACACCGAGGTAGTTTAAAAAGGATTCCACACTAAATTTATATGGTCACTAAATATTCAAGAATTAAATTGGTTGTTTGATTGCTTGAGTGAATTGAAATGTTTGGTTGTGTTGTGTTTGAGAGTCATCACCAAGTCTAATAATTTGTAAATCACGTAAAGTGAAAAAGATTACACACCAAAACTCTTGGAACGTATATACCTTGAGTATGAACATATGGGGGGGGGGTTATGCGACTTTATATTTGACCATAACTTCTACTGGGAGTACAGGACGTTGTACTTTCCATTTTTATTATTTATTATGCGTAGGATCCAGTCACTTCATGTGGAATTTGCCTACCCGGTTAGCTCCCGGTGTAGTTTACCTCAATTTATTTGAGGTGGGTAGTTGGTTGGAAACCCGTTCGATGTGTAATCAAAATTAAATAAATATTAATTAGTAGTCAAGTCAAGTGATGATTGTTGTGTGCTTGTAAACAGGTGCATCGAGGTAAGTTGTATGGTGATAGGATGAAAGCATGTTAGTGTGTGTTAATTACGCTTATGTACTCAGCTTTGCTAATTGTGTGTATTGTGTGTTTGTCTGGCCTTGTCTTTACCTTGGCCCTACGACGACCCATTTCTAATGGCGAGTAGTGGGGACAAGTAGAGAGAAGCTTTTCAGGTGATGAAGCATAATCATGAAGGGGCATGAGTGAAGAGTGAATCATGTTTAGTTCTCGTTAGAATATGATGTGTTTATTGCTTTGATTTATTATTTAATTATGTTGATTGTGAGACTAACGCAAAGAGGTTTTCAAGTGTTTTGGTTTAAGGGCCTACAATGGTTTCGAGTTGTAGATTGAGTTCGGTTGACTTTGTTTGACTTTTACTTTCATTTGGTTTGACTTTTAAAGTTGACTTTATTTTAAATAGTTTTAATGGTAGTCTTCCGCTGTGTGTCTTTGATAATTGCCTTAGTCGTTTTCACGGTGGCGGTAATGTCTTAGATTTTCCTTTTTCGTATTTTAAAAAAGGGCAAAACAAGTATTTTAAAAGGGAAGGAATTTCTAGGGTGTTACACTTATAGTCGGCTTCTTGGACGGTTGTCCATTGTTTGTTTTGGGGTTGCCCTTGGATTTCATCATATAGGACTTCAAAGCCCCCTCATCAGCCAGACGGTCCAGTATCCGCATGAGGCTATAGCAGACATTGGTGTCATGGCCTATATCCTCATGGAAATGACAGTACTTGCTCTTGTCCCGACTTTTGATCGGACTTTTCATTGCTGCCGGTTTTTCAATGGTCAACCGGTCTTTTATCTCCATGAGGATGGAGGATCAGTCCTTGTTGAACTCATACTTGGGGACGTACGGCTTCAACTCTCTCTTTTTCTTCTGGGACGGCTGACTAGAATGGTCTGCCACCCAGACTTCTTTTATTTTCTTGCTCTCTTCCTTTTTAGCCGGCTGAGCAAACCGGCTCTCTATTCTATCGGACTTTTTAGGGTCCGACGAGTGCTTGATGGCACAGAGCTCTGTCGCCTGTATGTAGGCTTCAGCTTCCATCAATGCCTCTTGGAGGGTAACAACCCTCTTTCAGACCAGGTCGAACTTAAAGGTCGACCCGTCCTTCAGACCTTTGAAGAAGTCGGTATAGGCAACTTCGTCAAACAGCCCTTAGATCTGAATTCTCATCAGATTGAACCGCCTGACATAGGACCTTAGTCCTTCCTTATCTCCCTGCTGAATAACCCCCAAGTTAAGACTTGTCTTTTTGGCAGGGATGTTCATGGAGAAGTTGGACGTGAATAGGTATGCTAGCGTCTTGAAGTTGTTGATGCATCCGGCTGGCAGATTGCCAAACCATCGCTGGGCTATGCCCTTCAATGTTGCCGGGAAGCATCGGCACTAGGCAGCATCATCCAACCCCTGTAAGTACATGAGGTTGGTGTAAGCCATTAGGTAGTCTTCCGGGTTGGTGGTACCGTCATAGTACCAACCAACACGTTCTTAACCTTAGCCGGCTAAGTCGCCTCGGTTATCTCTCTAGAGAACGCCGACGGCTGTTCCCCAAGGTTTAGCAGCCGGATCTGCCAGTCCATGGGCTGGAGCTGTTGTGCCGCCTGACCCCCAAAGAGGGTCGGCTGCATATATGGCGATCCATACGGCATGTATGGCTGGTGGGGCACATACGAAGCCGGCTGGATAATCTGAGGGCCAGTACGTGCGGACATGCCGCGTGACTGAATCTCTCGATTTGTTTCCGAATACTTCATTGAAGTATTACAGAAGGTGTCTGGGTAAGTCGATGTTGAGGCCGAATCAGACAATTGTTGACTTCTCTTCTCCTGGATGAACTTCCGGGTGACTGAGTAAGTCTTTTTTTACCCATCCGGCTAAACTTGCCGGAGGGCCTTCCTTTCCCCTGATTCAGGGAAACGAAGTCTGGATAGGTCGATCATGGGCCCGTCCACCGGTTTAAGGTGAGGAATAGGCACACGATCTTTCGCATGCTTCTTCCCGGAGGGAGAAGGCTTCTTTGCCAACTGACCCTTGTTGGTGCCAGTTGACTTTTTTATTATGTCCTTGATCTCCCCTTTGAAACTCATCATGAATTTCAAGAGCTCGTCTCTAGTTACGGGGGCAGCACCCTCCGCCGCCTGGGGTCGCCCAGCCGGCTTGATGGCTGGGCTGCTAGGACCAGCTTTGTCTTTGCCTCGTTCCCTTATTTCCTTGGAACGGGTGCGTCTAGTTCTGAATGACCCGTCTGGGGCCACGTAGGTGTCGATCTCAAAGTCGTCACCTCTATCTTGGTCCTGTGGACCTCAGTCTCGTCCATAGGCCGTTTTCCCTCATCAAGCGGTACAGATTCGGATGGCATCTCGGAAGTACTCTCCCCACAGACGGCGACAAATATTTCGGGGTTTTTGGAGTCCCTCGGGAGAGTTACAATTCCAATAATGCGCGTCAACCGTCTGTACCTGCAAAACCACGGAAACTCCGGTTGGGTGGAGTTCCACCTCCTACGATCAAGTTAGAACGTTTCCGGATATATAAAAGTGCGGAATGTAAAGGTTTTTCTCTCTAGAGAGAATTCTGCAATTAATATTGCTTGGGTTTTTTGTGAATATTTATGAATGTGTAATAAATGAGGATTTTCCTCTATTTATAGTGGAAGGGGATCAGTTCCCCTTTAGGGTTAAAGTGCCACGTGTCAGTAGAGGATTGGATCCCCTAGGACCTCTCTGAGGCTGACACGTGTCAGCATGCTATAGGCCACGTGGACCTGGGTATTTTTACGCTAAACACCTCGCATGATCAAACCAAGGATTTCACCAAGAGCAACTTGCTGGAACATTCATGACTCATGAACTTCGCCTAGGAACTAACACTGAAAGTTCCAGAATCAAGAGCTTGAAGTTCAAGAAGATATTGAACAATAGAAGACCTGACAGGAACAAAAGTGCACCACTTAAAGCCAAGTTTGTTCATTGCTTTTGTCACATCCATGTTTAAGAATGAAGGTTTATAGATCTTGCTCTCCTTAATATGCTCTTTTCCTTTGAAATTTGACTTGTCATTTTCTTTGAGCGAATGGGCTATGTACCCCCAAAGCTATTCACGATGGTCTTGTTGCGGCTAAAGGGAGGAACCTCCTTCACGTTAATATCAAGTTCACGGACAAACAGGTGGTTAAGGCCATAACTAGGAACTTGCAAGAAACTAGGCAACAAAGAATTATTCACAAGATTAGGATGCTAATTGCTAGTTTCCACTATCTAACTAGTATTATGGAGTCTATTAGGAGCTAGGCTCCGTTCGCTTTTTTGTCCGAGAGAGGAAAAAAAAAGCAAAGAAACTATGTTATCCAATAATGTTTGATTTAATGCAAGGTTGTGATAGGTATCCTATCTTTGGTATGATTAAACTAGTTTGACTTTTTCATTATTCACACGCTATTATATAAAGACAAATACTATTATATAAGTTTTGCTGGATTAGCCATAATGTAAAGATCCATAATATCAACTATTTATTAACTTTGCTAATAGAAATTAAAGATATAAATTATTAAAGTTGTGCATTGTTACTGCAATCAAATAGATGCACTTATTCAAATACAAAGTAAAAGAAGGTAAAGGATAACAATTTTAAGATTGATAAATCGAACTTTTTCTTTCCTTCCAAATTTCTCCAATTTTGGGAGGAAAGGAAACTAAAAATTTAGTGAAAAAAGCTTTCCTTCCACCTCCCTTCATTTCCTACTATATAAATATAATTAATCTAATATATCATAGGTGTTTTTAAAGGTAAAATTTATGTTATAAAAGGTAACTTTTGTAATATATAAGAATAACCTTATACTTTAAGGGTAATTTCAACTCGTTTTACAATAAATTAATTAAAGTCCACCTTAATCAAGAATTTTTGTGCATTTCCTATCATATCCCATTTATATTTTAGGACCAAACAACAGAAATAAGATTTTTCCTTTCTTTTGTTTCCTCTTGATTTCTGCCGATCAAAAAGTGCATTAAAATTGGCAATTTAAATTTTTTTGAAAGGCATCTCATCAAAAGAGCTCATGAACTAGTTGGGAAATAAAATATGGCTGACTAATCAATGCTTACGAGAAATGAATATTTATATTCAAATTTTGAATATACACTGACTACATTTCAGAATTTACTGACTAATCATTTATCCACAACACAATCAGTATCAATTAACAACTTAAACAGCAAGGACCCCAAAACAAAGTAAGCAACCAAAGAAAACTATTTTTATTTTTTTTACCAAGAGCTACTATGTGCAGCCATTTGCTTCCAGATGTCTCTCAATACACTACCTAGAAACGAGCCAACCGGGTTTAATTAATGCATCCTTCTTGAAATTACGGCGCCCTACAGATGTAGATTCCCCAAGGCGACGGAAACACTGTATGAAAGATGCCATATACAAGAGAGACCAAAGTAATGGTATCAAATAATTTCGTATAAAACAGTTTCTTAACAATAAAAAGAACACCAGAAAAAATCAATCCACAACATTCCCACCAAAACAAGAAAAACAATTATCAGTGTACAGAATAAGCACTCAGCTCTACGCCCAAAAGATCCATTCAACATTTAATAAGTATCCTTTAGATTCTAAAAATGTATCTGAAATTCTAAACTAGAAGATACAGAAACAGTCACCCCACTTAGAAATATACATAATTTTTTTTCTGATTAAAAACAACCCCTAAGAAGGATCTTTAATCCCAAAACCATCCCTAACTTAGAAAAATATACAAAAATTATATGTACTTATGCTGGGTAGATACAAAAACTACATATACCTGTGTTGAATGGTACAAAATTATACAAATATGAACTTATATTCCAAACATTCAAAAAGCTGCCCCTGAATGGTTCACATGCCAAAACCGTTACTTAATCCCCTAGTCCTAAGTTTTACCCTTTTTTTTTTTAACAAAAAAGGGTAATCACCGCCATATAACCAGCCTTTCCTCAAATCAAACATATAGCTTAAAATGAACCAACATACTCCGTAAGATCACTCTCCAATTCTCTCTCTAGAAAACCCATAACTTATCTCTTCCACCGCTTCCTTCTCAAGCACCTTGCTCGCCGGCGATCGGCGCTCTTCGTCTTGCCATCGCCGGCGAGCTGTTTTTCTCATACCTTTCCCCTTTTAGAATTTCTTTTAGTTTTTCCCAATAAAGAAGACAAGGGAGATCGCCGTTATCCGTCAATATCTTGATTTAGATACGGCTGTCATCTGTGTAATTCAATCAACCAACGAAACAAGAAGCCAAGGCTAGTCTTAACGCCACCGTCGAAAGGAATCTTGTTACTTGTTTTCCCGGTGGTAAAGGTGAAGTTAAGGTTAGGGTTTTCCTCCCCTAATTCAAAATTAAATTCAGGTGAGGCAGTTCTTCTTGCGTTGGCCTTTGACGGCTGGTCGTTGTGGTTGGTTCTGAGTGTAGCGGTGAGGTATCTTTCTTGTAATCTTCTCTTAGTTGTCTCACAATTAGCTTTGTGAGTATTTCCTCTGCTTTGGTCAGTAACTTTTAGTTTGTTGTTCCTAGTTTGTCTTGTTTTATTTATGTTTTCTTGGGTCAGTTTGTTCAACTGGATGTTCGGTTGTAAGGATGTTTATCTTGCTCTGGTTTTTTGTCTTAATTGGAACTTCTTATGGTAGCTCTAGTTATGGAGGTTGAAGTGATGTGGTGTTTGGAGTCTGGTTGGTCATTTTTGCCCTTGGTTTTAGGGGAAGCAAGGTTAAGTAACTTCTTGGTTGTTGGAGAGATGGTGCTTCTAGTTGTTTTCTAGGAGGTACTGTTGTTAGTGCAGGGGGTTTGTTTACCCTGTATTTGGAGTTTGCAGGAGGGGGAAGGTGTTTTTGCGTTTCCTGTTGTGTCTTGGTTACGGGGTGATTTAGGTATCCTTTCAGTTGCTTTCATCCCTTTGTTAGTCTTTGTGATGACATTGTCCATCATTGCTGTTAATCTAAATCTAGACGGAGGCTCCCCATCTTTAATGTTTGGGGTGAGCAAAGTCCTCCAATCTCTTGCTCTCTTTGTTAGTAGAGTTGCAAGAAGAGGAACCACATTTGGGTGTGCAGTTTCTCATGTCAGAGTCATAAAAAACAATGACTATTGGTTTTATTCCTAGACTCTTAGGAAGTTGCTATGCTTTCCGATCCCTAGGAGTGGAATGGTGTCAAGGTTTATTTCGTCAACAGGATGCAGTCATCTTTTGGTTGTGTCAACTCTCAACTTCTTCTATCAAGAACTTGCATTTGTGGTTTTGCAAGTTTCAGTTCCCTTCCCTAATATCAACCCGCAATCATCGTTCATTTCAAGTTTTTCGGCAAAGGTGGCAAAACACAGGTAACGGTAAGGATTTGGTAAGTTTTTCGTGGTTTTTCAGGCTCCAAAGTAACAGGTATGAAGCACAGCATTATGTGAGTTTTCAGTCATTTCAGTTGTCCTCCAATGGTGGTCATGGCAAGCCCTGTTTATGGGACGAGTTACGCCTCTTGCCTCAGCTACAGTTCATAAGTTCTTCCTTTTGCTGTTTATGCGTGTGGTTTGATGTTTTTGGTTGTAAAGTAGTTCTGTTTAGCTCTTATAGGTTGTAATTTATGCCTTTCGTTATATGAAATCTTTGTCAAACAAAAAAAAAAAAATACAGCCTTTCCTCTTCCCTGCCGCATACCCCCACATCACTGGTCCAGCCTATATGTACAGATGTACTTTTGCTGGGTGGACACATGATTTAATCTGGTCAGTTCTTCTGAATTCAACATCGTAATAGCTAAAATTAGATGATTGAGCTTTAACAGTTTCAAGTGAGGCAATGGCAATCAATATAGAAATTTCACATATGGTTTATTTTAAACCAGGAAGCCTCCCATAGACTCTCAATGTGCTGTAATGGAGGGGCATGGCTAACTGTGCAAAATAGATTAGCAACAGAAGGCAGATGGAGTTTTTTCTCTGCTATGGTTGACAGTGCATATACAAATACCACAATAGGCAGATCAACTAAACAAGATTAAGTTCAAGACACTGCTGGTTCTCCTATCATTTTGAACATGAAAATTAATTGCATAAATAAGGAGCGGTGGAGGAGGCAGGGAGGATGAGGTGTTGACCAAGAGGAGAGAGGGTGAGTGGGGGGTAAATTTAGTGGTGCCTTCCCAACCTGGTGGCAAAGAGGTAGAGAGAAAAATTTAGGCCGAGTTAAAGAGGAACAAAGAGAAAGCTATAATGATGGTAAAAAGGAAGGTTTCAGTGTTGTTGGACGCTATGGAAAAGAGAAAAAAGAGGGGGGGGGGATTTTTTTTAAAAAAAAAATTATTTTCCAATTAAGTTAGAGATTGATTGGAGACTTAATTGAGTATTGAACCAATGAACAGGGTATATTAGAAACATTTTAGAACTTAATTAAACTTAAGGTTTGACAATACTGACTAAATGAAAGGGTATGACCGTATGAGTTGATGGAATAAGGTTGATAAAGTGATTAGATAAAGTGATTCTTGTTTTAAAATCCTTTATAAATAGGACAGTTAGATTGGCAAAGAGGTAAAAAATCTAACAGATGTATACATAATATAAACATAGGGCAGGTATTTGGTTACTAATTTACCGTCATCCATCTCTACAGGGAAACAGAGGGAGCTTGTGGGTCTATTAACAACTTATAAAATTCTCTAGAGCAGAGTTTATTCTCAGAATCTAGCTAAATATCTGCCAGAATGAAGTACACGATGCCACTGCAACACCAAAAGAGATGACAAGACTACAAAAACACCATTTACCTACTGCTGAATTTATCACATACAAAATTACCAACCTTGTAACAGACGATAGAATCATCAGGGTACATAGCAAACAGCTTGGTTCCAAGACGGGCATGGCAAGAATCACATAAGCTCTCATCATTAAGCTGCACATTCCGTGCTCTCTCCTCAAGTCTAGCAAGCCTAGCATCAACATCGACTGCACGCGAAAGACTATGCACAATCTGGGAAAAAACACGTTATGTTAGATCTGCAGGGAACTTAATGGTAAACATGTAATAGTAAGCAATTAAGGGCCTGTTCTGTTCAGCTTAATTTCAGTTCAGTTCAGTTCAGCTCCAATCAGTTCAGTTCAGTTCTTTTCGTTTGCTAATTTATTTCAGTTCAGTTCCAGTTCCAGTCCCAATCAGTTCAGTTCCTTGAAATAGAATATACAATACAATATAAGCAGGTTATGTTTGAGCCGAGAGTACTTTAGTCAAATGTGAAGATTAAGGGTTATCTCAATAATTACAAGGAGTTTAGATCCCCCATATGCAATATGTTGGCCTTTGAATCAGTCCAATAAAAACCAAAGTGAAGAGGATTACTATAACTTTCTTAAAAGTGGCATGTTACAAAAGCAGGTTTTGGAAACCCATAAGGAGCCTTGATCGTGTCAAGATACACAGCTCTTGATCATGGCTCGACTCAGTTGAACTTATTTCACAAAGTTTGAGCTGGATCAAGGCCATCTTGAAATTGGCATGAAAGTTGTTAGTGGATTTTGTATTCGAGCTCAGCGCAATAAGCTATGTAAAAAAACTAAACAAAATGGAGTGTTGCTGCAGTACTGCTCCTCCTACTAGTCTTTGTGGTAGTGTACAGATCATGCAACCATTTAAGATTCATTGTGGCACTTTGGTAAACAGCAGACTGGAGACCTTTTAGAGGTTTGACCACTCCAAACCACTAATTTATGTGTTTGGTAGAGGCTGGATTCAAAGAGCAGTTTGGTCCCAAATATCTAATTTCCTAAAAGCACGAAAGAGCAGCATTATTAATTAGCAGTTCAAGATATAGGACATAAAAAGACATGTTTGCCCCAAGCTATATTCCACATGCATCCTAACTGCCTCCTCTACTCAGTACTCAACCCCATCAAGTCCATTTGCAACTGCAATTCAACTTCCATTTTTGGTTGTTAATTGATATTGGTAACCTCATCACCCAAAGCCCCAAAAAAGAGGAAAATCCTTCTAGCTTCATCAAAATCCCAGATCTAAATATGTATGCATGCATCAAGTTGAGACTTGAGAGTTTCCAATCATGGTAATGAATTGTGAAGAAACATTGCAACTGGTAGTAAATATTTTTATCAAATTACATCTCAACATGGTTGGGAGTATATCAAACTCAATTAGATCAATTAAGGAAAGAGGAAAAGGGTTAAACAAAAGGAAATATGGTAGGTTACTACTTATTAGAGATGGTAAATGTTAACAACATTCTTCATTAATTTCTGTTTGTTTGGTGAGATGAAGTTCTTGGAGAATTGCCACAAATGAGCCTAACTGCCTAATCTAAACATCATTAGCTTTTTTTTTTTTTTTAGTTTTTTTTTGGTGATCAAAGTGGTACTATAGGTTTATCACATAAGCAAGATTGTACTCTCTCCGTCCACAAATGATAACCTTGTATTCCGTTTTAAAAGGAGTCATTTTACAATTTACACTAACTATTAGCTACTTGCCAAACACATATATAAGAATAACTAATACAATCATCTACTAGTCACCAGCTAATATAATCAGCTAATTAAACAAGCTAATAGAATCAGCTGAGTGCTAAAAAAGCATAATCAGCAAAGATTAACAACTACCAAAACACAGAACTACAAATAAATATATGTAGATGAATATTTCTCTAACATTTTTAAATCACTCAAATCTGTAGTATCATATATACAGCATGCGTATACAAAATGAAGAGGACAACATACTTTTCCTTGATGATAATGATGAAGTCGAGCTCTCAGCATTCTTAATATCGTTTCTGATGCAAGCTGGAGTGGCATATCTGGTGATAATCTCTGCGGAGGAGACAAAAAATCAAAGCTGAATAAATATACTCCTGAAGTAAAAATAAGATATGCATTCCTATCCTTCATCTAAACATCTACAAAAATGTGTCCTCCCCAACACATTCACCGTACAGGCTACCAATGGCCAAACAGTCCCCCCCCCCCTCCCCCAATCCCAAAGATTAAAAAGACTATCATAACATATTAATAATTGGATATCTTCTTAGAGAAGCTTTGCTTAAGCTTCATAAAGAAGCTATGTTATTTTACTTTAGGTGTTATATTATTTTCTTTTATGTATTTTTATTCTCAGTACTTTCTATATTTTTTGTCTATTAGTCTTTCCCTGATATAGTGAGACTTAGATTCTAGCAGTCTTCCCTACGATAGGGGGATAGCTAGTATCCGTGTGCCTTTCCATTTTTAAAATAAAAAAATTAATAATTGACTTTCCTATATGGATGTTCATATTTTCGGCGTTTAGTTTTGCTTTGGAACAGGGGGTCTTGATCAAATACCTCTAGGACTTGCAGAGGATCAAGTGATTCTCCATGATTATGAAGTAGACGGACTGCAGCATTAAACATTGGCTCCTTACCGTTCTGTGGATCTAAATACATATCAAGCAACCTGATATTCATGATATTATAAAATCAATTAGAAGAAAATTACAAAACACTATAGACACATTCTTTAAGATAATTAGCTATAGACATAGGATACAGTGTATGGAAAACTAACTGCATGTAGGCATCTGGTCTGCCAAGTTCTACACAATATTGTTCAGCAGCCTCACTATCTTCTAGCTTCCTGATAGATTTACGACAAATTATCAGTGATCAGAAATATTTGACCAAAAAAACACTTCAAGGAACTTTGTGAGCATGCATATGAAATAGAATTTAGCAACATAAGTTAAGTCCCAAATAACGTCATCCAACAAAATAAGACACTACTTTGTATGTTTTCCTTTTATGTTATTCTATGATAAGTGGTCTATTGGACCACTTTTCTACCTTAATATCCCCTTATTTTGGTCCCTTTCTCCTTATGTTTATACCCCATTCAAGGCATTTTTAGTATTTCTTCTTCAGTTTCCTTATCATGCTCTTAGCATGCTCTATTTTACATGATTAGTTGAAATTCATACCCTTTTTTTTCTTCCATTTCCTTTGTATACCCTTTTAGGTTATATTGTTGCGCAAGATCTTATTGTAGGTTGCTTTGGGAACTTTGTACTGCAAGGTATCATGATGATGGGAACCACCCGAAGGCCCTTAGCAAGGAAGACCAAAGCAAGGAGTAAAACAGGGGAGGAACGGACACTCTAAGGAGTGGAGCACCCGCTTCATATTGGTGAAGACCCCTTTGAGAAGAAGGCCTGGAGCAACGCTCTGGCCTATGGAGAGCCTGCTCCAGGTTTTGAAGGAATTTGTGCTTCAGAAGAGGAGCACCTGCTCCTGACCAGCAGAGTGCATGTTGTATTGGTCTAGCTTTAATCTTTGTTTCTAGCTTTATATTTGGGGAATTTTAAGGGGTATTTACACGAAAATCTCATGTAATTAGAAGATATCCAAAGTTTAATATTTCTAGCTTTGACGCTAGACTAAGTAGAGAGAGAAGTGGATCACCATTGTTATACAATCAAGCTTTCAATACAAGTTCTCCAATTTTCAGTAATTTCTTGCACTTTTCCTCTATTTACTTGCTTTCCTTGGTAGTTTTGTGTGATTACTTAATGATTTATTGCTTTAGTAATTAGTGATCATCTTCATTAATGCTTAATCTTATTATTAATTGATGTATAGTATAGTTGATTTTGCTGTTGAAATTTTAATGTTTTTAAGTTGGTTAAGCTTTCTTTGAATACTTTATTAACATAGACACCTACTAATTGACTACAATGCATTCTTTGTATACTTTATTATAGATTACTAATTGAATGTTTTACCCAACAGCATTTCTATCTGGACTTTAATGCAGCTAGTTTTCCTATTCTTCTCTCCAAGAAGTCTACAAAAAAAATCCTTTCAAATGCTTTTCGTTTTAAGCCTTGAACTTCCATCAATACCCTTTACATTGGAATAATTCTTGTTATCTTGCATAAAGCTAAGTTTATTTTTTCCACTACAAAACTACATTCGAGAAGCAAATAGCACCGTTTTGGACACTACAAAATAAACACAAGCACGTGAAATGAAGGCAAGTGCACACTTATGTGTGCATGCAAGCATGATTGTATATATATATATATGAAAGGCTTTTTAACTCATTGACCACCTATGCCAGCCACTTATCCAGCAGAAAGGAATCACCACAACTTATGCTATGCATGCTCCACCATAACCAATACTACAACAATTCTTGGTTTCTCAGATGCAATTCAAGCCATATGCAGTTATTGTTTTGAAAATTCCTTACATTATTCTCCATCTCTTTAAACACACCCCTCCGATAATATAGTAAAAAATCTTTAAGCCACCAAATGCAAAACAGACATTTAAGATATACCCAGGCCTTGATAATATACAATCAATACATTATTAGTAGACTTTGAGGGAAAAGATAATTGTTTTAAATATACTCACAGTGCCAATATTTGAAGAACCAATGTTTCCTGTCCTAATTTCCTGTATAAAATAGCCTGTCACACAGGAATAGATACTTGATCATCATACTGAAAGAAGAAGACTGAGGGCACATTTTCTACAACTTAAAAAAGATAATCTTCAGTGAATGTCAGCTTTATTAAGTGAAATTAAAATTGAGTCTCATCAGTCAACTTCAGTTTTAATCATTAACTGTATATGAGAGAAAACTATTAAAAAAATAATTATCACAATCACAAAAACAAAAAAATTAAATAAAAAAACCTAGTCCAGCAAATAAGATATAAGAGAACAAAGCCTATCATTGATTCATAGGAAAAGGCATAAATACTTATCAGCTGAACCATTATTGATATCAGAGTATTATTAGTGTAAGAAGTGCCCCACGCCCCCCCCCCCCCCCCCACACACACACACCAAACAAACACACAAACTCCCACTATCCAAAAACCATCCCAAATCGGAAATTTTCCCACCAAACTAAACAAAAAAAAAAACCAATCATAATGAGTACATTAACTTATTTACCAAATCGGAAATTTTCCCACCAAACTAAACAAAAAAAAAAACACAATCATAATGAGTACATTAACTTATTTACCAGAGAATTTTTCCACATAAATCCAAAACTGAAAACATTATGTGTCACCTTCTCTAGCCATAAGTCTGAGCCTTCAATTAACTCAAGAACTTCTTCTGCATCATACAGATCGGAAGAATGAAGAAAGATTTGTAGTCTTTCCCTAACAGGATTTTCAGATGACAAATTTCTTCCAGGTATACATGTATTTGGTTCCCTCATGCTTTTGTTAGTAGCATTCAGAGTAGCATTTGTTTCCAGACTTTCAAAAGCAGTTTTGGCAAGGGAAAGAGCATATAATGTATGAAAATGAGTATCACTAGAGTCTTGATCTTCAATCAACCACTGCAGATATCTGCACCATAAGAGGCCTGGAAGTTCAAATTATGGTAAAAACATCCCAAGGTAAAAGAATAACTAATAAAAAGCACACCTTACGTTTTAAACTTTTAATTGAAAAATGAATAAATAATAATTTATATAAAAATATAATTTTTTTGAAAAAAGGAGCTGTAAGCCTTTGAAGAAAGAGTGGGTATAGCAGACTTTTTGTGTGAAACAGGAACATATCTATGAATTTTAGAGGAGAGAGAGAGAGAGAACCATCAGTCAAATAAAACAATATTGCAATTATTTTGCAACTTCCCAAAAAGAAGTGCATATCATGAAGGAAAGGACACCTAAATTTCTCTACAAAAATTCTCTATCCAACACTAGATATAAAGTCTTCAAGCCTATTTATCTAACCCGAATATACCACACACAACCCAAAATAAATTACTTTAGGATAACCCCATGTACATAGCTAACTTATATGGAACTTATATATTCATACACACAAAAGTTAGATTTACTTTGATCAAAATAAAGGTAATAGCCTATCTTAAATAAAACTCTATATTCCTTCTTATCTAAAGTGTTTCTTTGAACATCAAACCCTCTTTTTATTATATTTTATACACCAACATGTACTAGTGCCACAAAAAGGAATAATTACTGCTATGTCCAAGAGAACTGGACACAAACATGCATCACTTTTTTTTTTTTTTTTTTGGAGCAATAATAAACATGTAGCACTAATTACAATAGCTTCATACCTTTGAAGGATCTCTATTTTTCTTGGATCAATAGCGGCAATTACATCATCTGCATTAAGAAACACATGTAGAAATAATGAGTAACCAAAAATTTCCTTCCAAGGACAGTAATCTATTGTACAGCAAATGCATGAAACCACACTCCATAGTGAACACTCAACAAAGTCATGAGAAATTATCACAAATATACTAATTTCATTGTCCACAATCTTCAAGACATACTTTTGATCATCAATATCATTAATTGCATATTAACAAAAAATTATAAAAAGTTGATATGATAATACAACATATTGACATAAATCTTACGATATTTTTCATGACTACATCTTTTGTAAATATTAATGAGAATTTTTTGTCAAAGTTTATAAATTATGACGCCTATGCACTATATTATGGGACAGAGGAAATAGTATACAAAGTCTTTAGAAATAAGAACTGATGACTAATGCTTCCTCCATTTCTTGATAGTTGTGTCATCTTAACTAGACATGCTAGCAAACACACTACCTTGACAATTAATAGCTTTAATTATGCTTTATATAAAAGTTAAAAAAAAAAATAAAAGCACATATTTTGAAAATATACATTAACATATATTCAACAATAATTAAAATAATATATCAATTTATAAATTACTTCCTCCGTTCCCATAATATTGCAACATAGAGGTTGGACACGGATTTTAAGAGGATGAGAGAGATAGAGAGGAATAAAGATAGGGACCAATGTGATGAAGAGAAAGAAAGAGAGAAAACATGTACAAATAAGGAAAAGTTGCAACATTTGTGAAACTTTCTAAAATGGTAATTGTTGCAATATTAAGGGAGCGGAGGAAGTAGTAAACAAACATGGTTTAAGTTAGTATAGGAATGGTTTAAAAATATACATGATTCAATAATGAGATTGTGAAAAGCAAAGGCTGTAAATCTTAATAGCAACAAAATTTCACAGCAATATGAGGAAAGGAAAATGAAACGGTAAATGTTCATGGAATTCAATCTCAAGGGATTAACAACTTGATAGTCATCTCTTTAACTGCAATGATGAATCAAGTTGCATAAGTTACACAACTGTTGCATACTTGCAATCTGCTTATAAATTTTCAAGTTTGTGAAGCAAGGGCAGGCTCAAGCATGAAGGCAAGTCTTCTATTAGAAGGAATTTTAAGCACCATAGTACACTGCAGAAAAGGTCAAATCCAACCAGGCCTAAGAGCCCAACAGGCCAAAATCTAGAACAGGTTTAGGCCAAAGAATTGGCTTGAACACATTGCCGTTTATTTATGTGAAGTCAAGACCAAGCATTTTATCCCAAAACATGTAACTAGGCTAGCCCAATATTAATTTTTTTATCAGCCAAACATCACCTCTGATATGTTATTACCTATAGCTCCACTCTGCATTAAGTATAGAGGCAGAGACATGTTAATCTATTGTACACATTATAAATCCTATTAAATTTGCACGACTAAATTCCTGATATAAATTGACGAATTGCATATATACAATTAAACTTGACAATTTACAATTACACATAAGTAAACAGATGGCTCCAACCAAATAAAAAATAACCATGAGTCATGAGAAGCAACCAACATTTACAATTAACATTGAAAATAAAAAAAACAACAAGCATGCAGTAGACTAGGTAATTAAGTGATTTATAGCCATGAGCCCAAACTACTATTGGATTTTCTTATAACCAAAAAAATATTGGTTCTTAAAGCCCAAGTTCTACACTCTACATTAAGGTTTTACTAGATTTAAGCCTATGTGATCGGTTTTTTATGTAACATGTTGTATAAGGTCTCTATGGTTTATTTTTTGGTTGTTTTTCTTAAAATACATCGTACTTTTCTCCTTAAAACCTTACAAAAATACATATCTATATCATAATTGCAGAGTCATTTTTATGACATTTCACCACAATCCTCTAGAACCCCAATATTCAAATCCTATGCACTTCATATTTTTATTAAATTTAAAAAAAAAAAAAAAAAAACCCTACCTACCTACCACGAATTTACCTAGTATTTTTTCAAGGGACTCCAATAACTATCAACATTTTGCTTTGTGTTGTTTTCTTTTGCAAATAACATATCTCGTGCATTAGCACGGGCATGTTCTAGTCTATATACTAATTTAACAAAAAAAAAATTCAACGTTCTTTAAGAGCAATCCAAAGTCTCATCCTTTCATTTCTAGTCTTTCTATATTTTTTAATTTTTTTTTGTTTTGGTAAAATTAGCTAATAACTACCCATTTACTTGATAACTACCCATTATTATACTTAATATATATATATATTTTTCAGAATACATATATAAGCTATGAGCTTTTTTTTTTTTTTAAGAAACCCCAGTATTACAACTTGCAAGGAATATATCACGTGCTAATAAGCACGGGTCCAATCTAGTTTCTCTTAGAAAAAGAGACAATTATTTACTCAAGTGACTGCATACTTATTTTTATCATAATAATAATTTAAATTCTTCGATCTCCCCCATTTGCTAAAGATAATTGCTTTATCTCACTTTTACCATTTACTTATTTGACGCTACAATATTTTAGTTTACAACAAATTGTAATTACTTAATCTCATTGCCTAGATAATTTATCTCATATCTTTAACCATTAATATCTCTATTCTCTAATTACTTATTAGTAAAGATTTAAAAAGTAAATATTCTTGATGCACTCATGCGATGACAATTTTTTCCTTTTCCTAATAAATTGATAATAATTAAGAAAATTCCTTCAAATTGTGTATAGCATCAAAAAATAAACGGAGGGAGTATATTGTTTAATAGGTTGGAGGAGAATTAAAACAATCACATAAGCATTTTATAAAACCAATTCAACAACACCTCTGCCTATCTAAAAAAATAAAAAAAATTACCCTCCCACGTTTAATTTATTTCAATTATATATACTTTTCAATTACCTACCACTAAAATCAAAAAATAAAAATAAAAATTATTAAATAAATTAATAATAATAAAACCTAAAATATTCCTTCATAAAAACCTTTTTAAAAAATTAAATAACAATATGCAATCTTATTCGTTAAACATTACTTATGTGGCACTTAAAACTTTTGAATATAAAATTAATTGTAAATCAATTTTCAAATTCCTTAGATAGTAGGATAAAACTCCCAAATATCAAATGATAATATATGTTTTTAATTTATATAAACTTCTCCATCTCACTTATAAGGGTTTTTTTTTTTTTTTTTTTTTTTTATGGGGCTCTTGAATTTATTAATCTATAATCTAGTTTATATCTCTTTTTTTTTTTTCAAAAATAATTTAGAAGAAAAAGCATGTAAAAGTCCTGTAAGCATGGAAGATTACATGAATTAAGGGGAAATTGGCCCCCTACACTAAAAGTGGGGGTTATAGGTGATCCTATAGAGAGAATATTGAGAAAAAAAATATATAATAAGGAAGTGATGCAACTATTTTTCATTTTAGGGAAATGGTGCACTACGAGTATATGAAATGCATTAAGTGAATTTGGTAATCCTATATTCCTATGGGTAGTTTCCACATTAATATGTATATGATTGTGAAATAATCAAGTCTAGTTAGTGATGGTGTGTCCAACCACATTGGAATATTACCTAAATAATGAGATTATAGTCAAATATTTCATACTAGATGTTCTTCTAGGGTGCTTGGGGTGTCAGGGTACTTGCCAAAAGTACTGACATGCTTTTGCGAGACTTCGACAGCAAGCAATTGTCAAGTACTTCCCTGTCCCTATTTAGTTGATACATTTTCCGTATAAAAGTTATCCCTATTTAGTTGACACAACCTTTCTTTCCATAAATGGCAAGGACCCACTCATTTTTAAAATATTTCTCTCACCTTACTCTTTACCTACTGCCCACCAACTATAATAAAAAAAATACCCTACTACCTAATAACTATAATTACCCCACTATCAACTATCACACAATAAAATAAGACAAAAAATTTGTACTGACCAAGGTGTGTCAACTTATTAGACAGAGACAAAGGGAATAATAAAATGTCAAGGAGAAATACCAAAGTATACACACATTCATTCCAAAGTTTAAAGGACAATATGCAGATGAATGAAGTGAATATAAAATGCAAAAAAACAAGAAGCAAAATTACAACTTACCCATGCAATCTACAATTGGTATCTTTACCCTAAAAGAACTCATTTCAATGATCTTCTCCATGTATACAAGTCATGACTTCATGCAAGAGTGGGCAAAATATGCAACTTAAAGTCGTAAATCTACATGACCAAAACAAATAAAAGTTGCCTATATGAAGCAGAAATCCTACCAGGTGGAAGTTGGCTGGTACGTTTTTGAGATGTTAAAGCGCGAACGGCAAGTTCCTCATTAACTTCTGAAATCTAGACATGAATAAAATACACTGTTGGACACCAAATATATAATCGTCAATTGAACTTTACACGAATACATACCCATCCAAGATGCTGCAGAATCGACTCAACGTCAGCAGACTCCTCAAGTATTTTAGACGCTTCAATGGATGCAGTTTCCCTGCTGGAAACTGGTATTGAATTTGAATCACTCACGTTGTATGAATCAGCAACATCTTGGTGAGTGCCAAGCGGATAATTTCTAGCTAAAACACGCCAAATAGCTAACGCATTAGAGCTCATTCCTTTATTCACATATAGAAAAGCAAGGGTCCTCAAATGCCCAGATTCTTCTAGTAAAGATTCCAATTCCTCCTGCACTGAACATGCAACATTTATAGTCATACATCAAACAGGCTTTTAAAGAAAGCTTTCAAGATTCTGAGTTTCTGACAAACACCAAGACTGCATAATGTAAGCTTTCTTGGAGCACAAATATTAATCTAGCCAACAAAAATAATAGACCAACAAAAATCCTCTCATAAAAATTCAGACCAGCTGACAAGTGTATTACAATGCCATGGCCGCACAGGTAGGGGAAGGGCAAAAGCCTCTCAATTTAATTTTTGAAAAAAGAAAAAAGAAAAATAAAAAATACTACTCTGTAGCAAGAATTGGCTGCGCTCTATCTTAGTTAGGTTCATTCTAATTCCAGTGACAATAGGCAAAGCAGAACGTTGAATACAGAAATGACCAGGTGCAGAGAAGAATTCAATTTATTTAGGCCACCTCTATATAGGTTCCAACATTTAGCATGTGCTATCTAATTCTTCAAGTAATAACAAGGTTCAAAAACCAACTCCTACCGATTTTATTCACATTAGGTTATTGCTTTTGTTCCCAAAAATAAGATGTTTTGGAAAACAGCAATTCATGTCCAAATTAAAACAATAACTCTTCTATCTTCTCCAACTTCTAATTTCTGTTGTAAACTAAAACTGCAGTGAAATTGCACATTAAAAGACAGATTAACAAAGAGGGGTTAAGAAACTAGGACTATAGGAGATACTATAGGCGAAGAATTGAAAATTTAGGGGAAAGAGAGGGAAAATGCTTAGGAAAGAGAAGCTGTAGATGGTATTAGAACAGAGAATTCCAAACAACAAAATAGAGTAATCAAATAGCCCCAAATAGTGTTTGTATTGATGACCAGAGAAATCAACAATACAACTCCTTTCGAGAGGAAGGATTCTCTCCCTAGTGTTTGCTTCTCAATTTTCTGGATACCTCTTCCCTCCTACATTCCTTCTATTTATTACAAGCATCTTGAATAACAAACTAACAAAGTCTATCCAGCTAATAGAGAATAACAACTTAAGCCACAAATTACTTTATTGCCCCAAAACAGTACAAATTCATAACTGATTTTCCACTTCAGCACTCAGGTAGCTGTTGCACCCATTTTGCTTTCCTTCAAGCATATGTGATCACAGGCTTGGGCTGATTGGGCTGGTTCCTTGCAGCTTCCTATCAATATGCTTGGTTAAGATAAGACTGATAGGAGAGGGTATGTACTCAGTTTAACTATAATTGATTCTTGGGCCATATTGGATCAACACATATAAAGGAGCATTAACTTACACTTGTCATGTATTGCATACTTTACAAAAGAAATTATATTGTAGACAAGAAAATCAATGAAGTACAGATCAATAAAATCCTCTACAGTCACACGAGGGGATGAGACACATAAATTAAAGAGCTCAATGCAATAAAGCTTTCAGTTCTCAGGAATTCTAAATAATAGTACTACATTTAATATTATTTTTATGTATCAATCTGGGTAACTGGTATACTTATTTTATAATAATTCGAATTCAACTTTCTAATCAGACACTGGAAGCCAATATCTTGCAATATTCATAATGTAAGATCTAAAGCAAGAGGTCATCAATTTTTCTAGAATACTTTTTGACCAGTTTCTTCCAAATAGTTATGAGAATAATGTCTTGGAAGAAGACTCTTTGACGTCAAATTCTAGTACAAAATTATATGAAATGGTGCTCGATAAAATTTCAGCATAATACATTCCTTGCTCCTCATGAAGTAAGGCTCTTATCACAAAGAAAATCACCTGATAGATTTATAATGAATAAGAATAAAGCTAATTGGCATGACCTTCTTCAAAGCAATATTACAAAATATTTATGAAACAAGCAGCACAGAATATTAAAAGCCAAGCTTTAATATATGCTCATGGCCAAGACTACATTGCAAGGTGATGCAAGAAAATATTCTAAAGCTCTAAGGAAATATAGATGAGTTGGGTATAGCTGATAATTAAATAGATTCGCTAACAAAAGGCTTCAGAAGTTCCAAAAAGGCTGGAATGTATAATCAGAGGGTGGGGGATATAATTTGCGTTTACAGCTCAACGATGTTTGGTAATCACCAAATTCAACAGCAGCATTGCACATGAATTGACCTCTACATGAATTGACCTCTACATGGTCATATGTACAGTGTTTTAGAGGCCAATTGACCCAGTCATCAAAACATACTAATAAGAACCACCAATATAAAAGAAATACCTATGTAAAAGCAAAAGAAAACTCCGATTCAATCATTAAGGTAAAAAAGAAAAGAGGTTCAAGGAAAAAGATTGCGTACTACAACACAGCTATTTTCAGAAGATGCAAGGTTCTCCATATCTTCAGTGCAATTAAGTATTCTGTATAGGTACATTAGAACTGTGTCAACTCCTTCCTTCACTGGCTGAATAAGATCTTTATGCCGCATTACCAGGAGATACCTAAGAGAGACATAAAACATACATAAACACAAAGAGTGTGATGCAAAGAAATAATATGTGAAAAATGAACATACATAAAATACCAATCTTTAGCTAGGATAAACATGTATAATTTATTCCCTCAACTTCATGGTATATCTTGTTTTTATGAGGGAATGAGTTATTGAGTTACATAAAAATACTGGTTATTAAATATTGCAGGAGAAAGAAAATGCTTAGGAACAAGGTTGAAAATGAGAAATCAACGTGAAGTGAAGAGACCATTGTTTCATATTCTCTCACAGGATATAATATTTGGACTTCTAAAACAAAGTTTAATTTAATTGCTTTAGAGCAGCTAATAGAGTATAACCCATCTATGATGCAAGAACAAGAATAAAAGTACAGATCAGAGTACCTAGACACATTATAAAAGGATCTGAAAATTGGATTTGAACAGGGGGGGCACTGACAATCTTTTGGGAACAAGAAATAATGTAAATGAAGTTCATAAATTTGAATGAGTTGATCCTCTAGGAGCTGAATTACAACTATACATGCATCATAGAACTTACCAGACACTCATCACCTCACAGAATATACTTCCTCCGTTTTTTTTTAGACGCATCACTTTCCTTTTTAATTAATAAACTCTCTCTATCTCTCACCTATCACATGGATCTACTTATTTCTTTCTCTATCTCTCTCATCTCCAAAAATTGCCTAGGAGTACGCAATTTTTAAAGTGATGCAACTAAAAAGAAAAGGAGGAAGTAAGAATAAATACAAACAAACAAAAAAAAAAGGGAGGGTGTGGATGGGAAGTTGCTGTAGAAAGGAGGAAAAAGAGTTAAGAAGCAAGGTAGAAAACTCTCAATTTTCCTTCCTCCTATGCTCCATTATCTCTCTCACCGGGTCCACTTTCTCACCTTACCCAATAATCTATGTCCTCACCTGTCGAGGTTTGATTGTGTCAAACGGCACAGTTATTTAACAAATCCAAGCATCAAAGCCAATTGAAGCATACAGGAACTGAGCTATAAATTCTCTGTTCCACATTGCACCACATTTAATTTTTCAGAGCATCCCAAATTGGTCTGTTCTGATGTCAAAATAGCCAGTGCCACTTCCTGATAATATCACCCTTCCCATCTTTACTCTCTCAGTCTATCTTCTAACCCTCTCCATTCTTCCCCAGAAAAATCCAACCATGACTCCAATGAGTCACAACTACCAGCCCAACCCTGCTACACTTCCAGTCCACCATCACCTATTCTACCCTGTCAACACCACTTACAAAATCATTAATTCCCTTAGCCATCGGCATTGCTAGCCAATCATTAATTGTACATCCCCATCCAAACTAGCTGCGGCAACCTCAAATGGAAAACCTTAATGGACAATTCTAACAACTACAACTACAACTACAATAACAACAACAACAAAGCCTTAGTCCCAAAATTAATCGAAGTGGGTGAGGGTGGTAGTGAAGGATGAAGTAGTGGGTGAGGGTTGGCGCTGGTGGTGTTCGATGAGTGTTTGTGATGTAATTGAGCATGGTTACAAAGTCTGTTTGTGAAAATATTAGGTGAGGGTCTAAGCAAATGGTATTGATGGCAGTGAGGGTCCGAGCAAATGGTATCAGTGGCACTGTGGCAGCAAGGGTCCAAGCAGGTGGCATTGAGCATCTAGATCCATAGGCAGGTGGAAAGGTGATGATGCGGCTAAGTCAACAGATGGAATGGTGATGGTGGTGGCTTCCACATTCTGGAACAGGGTGTTTGTCGTTGGGTAGTCAAACTCATTTGAGGGTGGGTGGTGATGGTTTGGTTATTCCTGAATGTGAGGATCAGGGGTAAAAGTGTCATTTTACCTCCTAATAAATGTTCCAGATTTGCAATGGTACAACTATTGGGGAACAGAGGAGTATGTAACATATTCATAAGTACACCCATCCCCATCTGAAATTCTGAATGCAAGTTTAAGTTGGGTGCACACATGCATGTTGGTCTTAAGGCAACAGATAGCAAGGAAATAAACATCACCAATACAGGGCAATTAGAGTATGAAATTCTTTATTCCCAATCATGATCATTTTTTCTACCCCACGCTCCCTCCCCTTTTATTACATTTTTACTGCTCGCATTGCTAGCCATTGTTTATCCCTTTCCTACCCTTTAATATCTTTTCATTTGTCACCCTTCTACCCTCCCACTAAACCTCGTGGCAGCATAGAGCTAATCTCTCTTGCTAACAGACCAAGAACTAAACCAATGAATGGAGCTTAATTTTTTCATTGGCCTATAGATTATAAAAAAGATCAACATAGTTGTAGAAAAGGAGGGGCTAACCAAGAGAATTCAATGACAAACTCTGAATTCATAGTTCTAGAAAAGGAGGGGCTGACCAAGCATTTTCTATATTGATCCATGTCATACTTCGTACTCCAATTTCTAAGAAGAGTCATAAGATTAATTCTTTACGGAATTCTGTTTCTCATGAGTAGGAATTTAATATGTTTATAACCTTGCCAGTTTACCTAGAGTCTACATTCTTCCTTTCTTCGGGTTTTTTCGTCTGCCATTCTTAGTGCTGCCATCATAAAGCAAAAAAAAAAAAAGGAAGGGGGGTGGGGGGTGGGGAACCTAATGCTAAGCCTTCTCCTATTTCTTAGTTCTTTGGGAGAGTCAGGTCCACAAGCAAATGAGCTAATGAACCATTTAAATAAGCAGCTACCTTAGAGAAGCTTAACACTAGTGAAAGACTGCAAGTTCAAAGGCTAAATTAGGTGCTTTTGCCTCTATGTCCATAGTGTATAGCTAGTGAGAAAGACATTTTCTGGTGTGTGCTCCTTAAGGTGGTAACATAAATAGGGAAAAGCTACATGCAATTGTCCAAAAAAGGTGGATGATAACAACTAACAAATACTGTACATAATTTGCATGTCCGTACTTATTTCACAGTTTTGTGTTACTGATAAGATCTTACAAGGTAGTGTCTTTAGTGAACTCACAAACACACAGCTGATATCACCAAGATGCTGCTAGCAATTAACATATAAATTGTACAATAAGCATCTCACCTAATTAAATTCCTAAATGCTGAATCCAAAAGATCAGCCCTAGTTGGTGGATTCAAAAGAAACTCATTGTCGACAGCACTTTCTACTCCAGCTTTCTTCAAAAAAGCTGCTCTTTGGATAGCCAACAGGCCATCTTCTACAACATCCTCAACATGTACGGGAGGTGGATGCAAACCCCAATACCTATTCCTGGGTACCTGCAGAATACCAAATAGTTAATGTACCCTAAAGACATACATACTATAAGACAGAATATATATGAATTGACTTAAATATTGAAAGAATAACATGGACTTGGCTTGTGTTATCAAGGTTCCTGTAACGTTAGGCATGTACTTAGTGCCTAGCCAAATGATGCCCATCAGAGCTAAATTCAGGGAAGAGGCAAGTAGTTTTACAAGAATCCCTTTGCCAGACCACATAACCTAGTACTTTTCGTCTCTGAGTGCTACGGAGATTTTAGAGCGCCACATAGGAAAATGAAATATTTTAGCCCATGAAAAAAGAGAATTGCAATGTCTTTTAGAATTAAAAAAATTCAATTGCCACATAAGCAAAGTAAACGAATTAGATTTAAGATTTTAAATTCAAGTGTCACGTAACTGCCTAAGTATAAAAAAAATTGATAGTTTAAATTAATTATAAAAAATAAAATATTATCTTTTTATATTAGGAATTTATCTAAACATGAGACAAGAAATTTAAAATTTAGTATTTCCTAATAAAAAATTCAAATAAATAACAAATGAATATAACCATAAAATTTATCAAATAAATATATAAAATATTTGATTTTAAAAATACAAACAAACCATGCATCACACGAGATTCATCTAGTTATAAATAAAATGATGAAAATCACAATATGAAAATCAAAAAATGTAGTATAGTGCCTCATATCCTTCACAAAAATCAATATGAGGTAGAAGGTAACATTTCTATTGCTAGGTAAATTTGTTGATGTCACTTGTTTTATAACAGCCAATAAATTATCTACTAACCACTTTTGTCTTTTTTCTCTTGAGTATTGTAGATTGCCTTAGTAGCTTAAGGTATGTGAGTGAATAAAATACTTGCGCTGGTGATACTGTAACACTCCAATCACACAAAAGAAAATGATGCTAAGTGATTAAGTATTTCAGGGACTAGAACTGGATTGCATTTATATATTTTTATTTCTCTTTCCATTTCTACATTGTGCACATTCAAAATAGTGTAAACTTCTCTCATCCCCCCCCCCCTCACCCCCACCCCTCCTTTTATCACTATCTTCCAAACACATAATCAACTTTAAAAAATTTAACAAAATACAAGCACAAAGCTTTAGCTTAATTTCCACAATCAATACCAGTTTAAATTATCGAAATGTAAAAAGTTTTTCAAGATCACAAAAACAAATGGGAGGAGAAGAGAGCTCAAAGATGACAACCTATCCCATCTCCTCAACTGACAAACAAAACCCTCCACAAATCCTTCCTCCCCCCCACCCCCCGCCCCCCTTCTCTCTCCTCCCAAACCACAAACATATGCACCTACAAAACAAAGAAAGACAGCAAAAGCAAAGAGGCAGGCTTTACAATTTAAGAAACAATGAATTGGTGAAAAGGGGAGATGTGAAAGGATATTTGGACTTCCATTAAATAAAAGATGTGAAAGAAAAAAATTTCATAGGGATCAATAAGAGAACAACACTTGAAGCTGATTTTTCCTCTTGAGGAAACAAAAAACAAAAAGGTAACTTCAAAGGTAAAATAGACTTGATTGGTAAAGAGAGTTTTAACAAAAAATGAGGAGACCAATTTGAAGGTTTCACTTCATAAATCCGCAATTTTTATCGCATGATAAAGCGCTTATTGAATGAGCTTGTTGTACTCAAGCCTCTAACTTCTTAAAGTCGACAAATGAAGTTAGGTTAGCTGTAACAAAATAGCAACTTTGTCCAAAAGTTACTATAATTTACATCCCTACCAGCCTTACTTCTTATGTCTTCTAGTGCTGATTTGTCGTTTTACATGTTCAAATAGCAAAAACCTACAAGTTATTAGCTAGTTTTACCAAGCATATCAGTACAAATTAATATAACCAGCTAGTTAAATTAACAATTTTTTTTGTAAGAGAATCAGCTAGTAATCAAACAAGGCAATTATATATACTAATTGCTTAAGAAGAATGTATTGCAACACCAATTCATCACTAATTAAAAAGAGGGGGGGGGTGTTGTATTACCAGCAAAGACCATCGATTAGGGTCTCGTATAACAAATGGAAATATTTCTGATGGCTCCATGGTTTCTGACAATAAGAAATGTTCAATCGCTTCCTCAAAACGCAAGTCAAACAGTAAAAGAAACCCCACTTGAGCATGGACAAAAGACACCATTTCTCTAGAAAGGTCACCATCAACCTCAAGCTCCTCCACTAAGGAGATCGCTTCCTTGTAATTCTTCTTCCTTAACAAATCTTTAATTTGTTCTTCAGATGGTATTTTACGGTAACAAAACACCTGCCAAATGAGTATCAAAAAGAACAGCAAACGATTATCTCTAAGCATCCAATAAATTATACTTATTTAACCAAGCAGACCTTGCCAATAGGACAACAAAACAATAGATAGTGAAATAAAAGTCCCTCCAAAAATTAACAAATTCTCCAAGATCTTAAAAAACTAAAATTTCATTACATTTTTTTAAACCTATTATTTAATTACATAAGAAAGTCTTTTCTTAATAATTCAGACATCTCCTTATAACACTGTTTTCTCCCCTTTCCTCCTTAAGTATATTGGTAGGGCTAGCAGCACTATAGGTCACTGGTGAGACTTGCGTTCTTCTGATATTTGGTGCTGTGTATAGTTCTTGTTTTCCTCTTTTTGACTCATTGGCTGCTGCTTAATAAACTATAAATTTGCTCAAGAGCTTACGCGTATAAAGTTTTGCTGGTTATATATTGTGTCTTCCTCTCATCTCATTTAGAAGATGAGTTGATTGATGAGGGGACTCCAGTCACCAAGCATGTTAGATCAGCCCTCAGCCAGTCAGCCCTGAGGAGGTCTTTTTTTGATATAAAATCTAGAAAGAATAAGAGAATTCTTAAGAATGATAAGTTTGATTTTAATTATTCCAATAGTGATAAAGGTAGTAATATACTCTTTTTTAGCAAGCCAATGAGTTTGAAGTTATAAGCATTGTTTCACAGTCTAGTGTTTTTCTTAAACCTCAATGTTATTCTTTGTTCTTCATAACTTCATAAGTTTAGCCAAGTGATCAAGATGTGTCCATTGGTGCTAGACTATCCTGAGAATGCTAAGGGCATATATAAGGGAGCCTTAATGGCTTAGCTTTAAAGGAATTGTGTAATCTAATATTTTAATTTCAGTCAAAAAAAGAACTTGTTACAGCTACTGAAGATTAACCTGCAAATCAAGATGTATTAAGAGATTTGCAGAATGTAGAGAGCTTGTTAAATTATAGCTCTAGAAGGGAAAGACCTTTGGGGAAGTCTGTTTGATGGACTCAAAGATGTACATAAAGGTTCTGTTAACCATCCGAATGAGTCGACTTCGCAACAAGTGGATCAGGGATAATATGAGAGTAGTTTGACAATAAGGTTAGACTAGGTTGTCAGTACAATGAGGTGTTCATGGATACTGATTGTACCATTTGGATTGACCACAAATGAATGCACCAATTGTTGTTTATGCATGTTTAATCACAAATGCTAATACAAGTAGTGGAAGGCCACCTTGAGTTTAATAATAAAACATTATTAAAAAAAAATGGAAATAAATAATCCCACCTATGCTCCATCGTTCCCAAAACAACCCCTTTTACTGGGATCTTCTTTCAACAATCTCTTTGACCTATTAAATATTTTTTTTTTCCTAAGTTTATCTCCTCCTACCATGGCCACTAGTCCACCACCATAACACCACCCTGAAAACACACTTGCCCCAAGAACTGCAACACTACCATGGCCACCCCCACCCACCACGAAACCCCCCAGGCACCCCGAAAAACCCTCTAACCACAACTAAAACCCAACCCCAACCCGAAAACTCCCTTACCACCCCAAAAACCTAACCCTAGCCACGAAAACCCCCACCCCAACCCTAAAAATCCATTAAACAGCCCGAAAACCCAACCTCCACCCCCGAAAACCCCACCCCTAGCCACGGCAGAGTGATCGTTCATGCATTGCTGGGGTTGTAGGTTTATTTAAAATCATTTTTGTTTTTTTAATTGTTAAAAAATAAAATAGACCTATTAAAAGCCAACACGTGGAAAAAAACCTAAGAAAAACGATTACCAATCGCTAAGGGATCGTTAAAAGAAGACATCTGTCAAAGGTTGGATTATTTTAGAATAATTGAAATGTAGGATTATTTTGGAAGGATGGAGCAAAGGTGGGATTATTTATTTCCAGTTTTCCAAAAAAAAATTAATAAAATAAAAATATATTTTTCCTGTTTAAAAAAATAAAAAAAAATTACAAATTAAAAAAACATCTTTTTTGTAAATTGATCAAATTTAAACTGCTGCTAAGAGAGGAAATGGCATAGATCAATCTCCCATATTCACATGTTTGAAGGATTGTTGTTACTACAGCCGGTAATTATAATGATGCAAACAAGTCTTTAGAAAGGTGATTCCTAAGGTCAAGGATCAAACAGTTAACATTCCAAGCTTGGAGGAGGTTAAGGGCATTAAGAAAGATAGTGACATAGAGTCCATTGTTTCCATGTACAGCAGCAACTGTTTTGACTTACTTGACACTCCAAAAATTCCTAAATCCTCCCTTCGTTTTCTCAGCTATGCTTTGACCATGTAGAGTTGATGGATTTACTAGGAATTAATTAGGTAAGGCCACTAAATCCATGGTATGGAGGAAAGATAATATTTCTAGTTAGTATCCCCCAGATGATGATACTAACAGAGCATGTATTTTCGTATATGAGAGAAAATAGCTCAAAGTAGTCCAGCTTGTTTTATCAGTTGTACTTCTTATTTCCTTTAGTCAGCTTTCTACTTTTTCTCTATACCCAAAATTGCCCAAAAAATAGGAAACACAAGATGATTTGTAAAACTATGTTGAGATTATTATTGATGCATGCCAAAGCTGCAATATCAAAAGAAAGAACAAATGGATAATCTTTCAAGGGAGCCATATGTCTTTTACACTGGCATCAAATTCTCGCAATTAAATTATCATGATTTTTGGCAGGAATGTCATATCCAGCAATGAAATTACCCATCAATTCTCTGAACTGAATTCAATGATTCAATGAAATAGTGGATACCTCTGAAGTAAAACAGGAAAAGCAGAATGAATGTCTGATCTAGACAGCGAGTTAAGAAGCAAATAATAGGGGGCAAACAAAATAAAGAATCAGCACTTTACCTTAGATGATGTAGCAAATACAACAAATCTTCCATTCACATCCTCCTCATCAGCAACAAAACAATTACTCGTTCCAACGTTACCCTTGAAAGAAAGAGCTTGAACACAATTTCCTGATATTTTATGATATATTTCCATCTTTCCATTACAAGCAACCACCACATACGAAGATAACTCAGCAATCGAACAAGGAGCACAACCAAATACCAGGGTACCACCAACAGGCTGTCCATGACGATCCACGATAATGCCCGCATTATCAACCAGTAGAAGCACCTTCTTATCTTTTGACAACAATTTGAGACAAGGAATAGCAGCCGTATCAGGAAGAGAAAATATCAAATTAACATGCCCTGTAATGCAGGACATCAAACTATAAGCACTATCAGTCCCTAAAATTAATGAATCATCAAGCCAAGCCATAGTCTTCACACCATCAATACACGGCATTTCCTTCAAAATCACGAACAACCCACGTTGCCCATCGACCTCTCGATCATGCTTACTACTGCCCGAATTCAGCTCAATGAACAGCACTTTCTTCCCCATTGCCACCACAAAAAGGCAGGCACCATCATTATCCACTCCCCTAGAACTGAATTCCTTAACCCTCGCCCTATTCGATCTAACGCCGCCACCTAACTTTTTCATAAGCCTCCCACCTACAGTACTACCACTACTACTAACACCATCCTCAAGAATCCAATTAGAATTTCCAGATTCAGTACTACAAACCCTTCTAGCAACAATATTAACACCCTTCAGAATCCCTAACTTTTTCACAGGCTGTAACAATTGCAGATCAACTAGATACAAAAACCCATCAGAAAGAACCAAAATTCTACTAATTTGATTAACAACATGAATTGAATTAACAGCAGAACGACTGATATTAACACATCTTACAACCTTCAACCTACCATCGTCGGCATCATCGACTGTCGCCGACAATGATCGATCACAATTAGGGTTTATGGTCAACAAAAGAAGATCACCGGAATTGGTACCACAGTAAATTACAAGCTGAGAATCATCGATAACAGCAATGGCGACGCAGTTGAAGGAATGTAGAGAAGAGGAAGACGATGAAGTCGATGAGAGGTCAAAGTGTGCCAGAGATTCTAGGACTGTCCTACAATTTGAGGGCAAGTTCCGTCCCTGAGGCAGGGCAAAAGGGGCGGAAGCCCTTGACCCAGGAAGAAGAGGTCCGTTTTCATTGTTCCTTCCTAACATAGAAGGGGCAGAGCTAAATCTTACCTTGGAAGGTATTTCAATGGAGGATTGGAAGCTTTGAAGTTGCTTCAATGGAGGATTGGAAGCTTTGAAGTTGCTTCAATGGAGGATTCAGACTTTAGAGTACGGTTCAACGGAGGAGAGAGACGTAAAGGGAATGCTCGGGAGAACACAATAAATGAAAGGGAAATTTAACGGAAAAATTGCCAAAGTAAGCTTTTACGGAAACAATTTTTCAAAGTAAACGGGTGGCAAAATTATTTACCAAACTAAGTTTTTAGGGTAAAACGCCAATCAGGCTGGCGTTTTTATCATGGCTATTTTTTACAAAAATTTCAGTCTTAAAATTTCAGTCAAAGCAAAAGTGTCATCTAGGGTGGCGTTTTTACTCTAACTGATGGCCAAGGTAAAAACACCATGCTGGTTGGCATTTTACTCTCAGCCATAAAGTGTCAGCCTGCTTGGCCTTTTTACCTGCAACACCCAGCCTTTCAAAGTAAACGGGTGGCAAAATTATTTACCAAACTAAGTTTTTAGGGTAAAACGCCAATCAGGCTGGCGTTTTTATCATGGCTATTTTTTACAAAAATTTCAGTCTTAAAATTTCAGTCAAAGCAAAAGTGTCATCTAGGGTGGCGTTTTTACTCTAACTGATGGCCAAGGTAAAAACACCATGCTGGTTGGCATTTTACTCTCAGCCATAAAGTGTCAGCCTGCTTGGCCTTTTTACCTGCAACACCCAGCCTGCAAATTGCAGGCACCACACCTGTTTCGAGGTTTTTTTATGTCCTGCGGGAGAGTTACAATTCCAAGACTGGTCTCTGAACGCCTGTACCTACAAAACAACGAAGACTCCAGTTGAGTGGAGTCCGCCTCCGACGATCAAGTTAGAACGTGTAAAGAGTCTGTAAAGAGCGCGGAAAGTAAAGTATTTTCTCGGATTCCGAGAGAATATCTGCAATTAATGATTGCTCTATTTTTTGTGAATTTTTCTAAATGCGTCCCATGATGGGAACATCTCCCTATTTATTGGGTCTCAAAATGCGTGTCGCCATCCTAGGTTACGGAAACCTAGGAATGGTTGTCTTCCTCGGGAATTGTGCCATAAAGGCCGCCATTTTTCCCAATCATTGAGAATGCCACGTGTCAGTAGAGGATTGGTTCTCTAGGACCCTCTCCTGAGGTGACATGTGTCACCTTTCTATTGGACCATGTGTATTGGGTAAAAATGCCTAAAACATTTGCCCCTCACGAGTGTCATGTGGCATGCCACGTGGCACCAGTGACACCTGTCAGGCGGCCGTTGGTGGGCGGTTTTTAACCGTTGGTCTTCTAGGGAAATTACGGGGATGCCCCCTGAATTACCCTTCTATAAATAGATTTTTTTACCCCTCCCTTTTTGATGTTTCCAAAACTTAGAGAGAGACATCCGTTTTTTAGAGAGATAAACTCTGTCAACCGCTTGTATACCTTGCAAGCAATTGCTTTCATTTCACTACTCACAGTCGGTACACCGTCTGGGTAGTTTGCAAAAAGTTATTCTTTTTCAAAGGGGTACATCCGGTTATCTATTCTTTAGAACCGCCTGTGTACCCTTCAAGCAAGCTTTGGCATTTCAAGTGGGTACAACCGATCCCCCGCTTGAGCATCTTGCAAGCCATTGTTCAGTTTCCGCCTGCTAATTCAGCCCGTCACCGCTTGACTACTTCGCAACTCAACTCATAGGTACCGCTTCACCTCTTCTCAACTCTTTTATATATTTCTATTTGTGTACATTTGTTCCATTAATGGATTCACCAATAGCACACACGGCACAGCGTAGTTTAGAGGACAACCGGTCCCCTGGTACGGCCGAGTCTAGAACTGGGGGTATTGCCTCTGGGTGCCTGGATCACTCTTGCTCATCTCCCAATCCGACCGTCTCCATGTCTGTGCAGGACACTATGGCTAGGACTAGGAAGACGGTTGTAGATCCGGAGTATAGGGAGGAGAGCATCGAAGAAAAGTCACCTGAGGGAGATCAGGCTGAGATGGCAAGAGGATCCTCCATGGGCACACCTAGCACACCCAGTGATGGGATTTTAGAGTCCGAGAATGGAGACGGAGGAGAGGTCGCCTCCATTTCTGGTCAGGAGGAGGCGGATAAGAGTGCCTCTGAGAGAGACGGGAGTGGATCCGCCTCTAGTTCTCGCTTTGTAGCCTCAAGCAACTCTCTAACTCCGGATGTGGATAGTGAGGAGGAGGAGAGGCCAACATGGAATAATAAAGGGGATCCACTTCACATCTATATTTCAGCCAAAGACAGGGCAAATATGGAGAGGCACCTAGAGACGGTTAAACTCAAGCGTCCTCTAGATGCGGGTTACACCATCTGGGTGCCGCCTAAGTTTGGGACCATAGCCTGGAATGACGACCAGTCAGGCGCCAATAAATATTTTGGCTGCTATGAGGCAGCATTTTTGGTGGGGCTCCGCTTCCTCCTTCATAATGCAATAAAGGCTATCCTTAGAGGATATGGCCTAGGTTTGTGGCAGTTAACCCCAAACTCCTAGGTTAACATTTGGGCTACATCACCGCCTGCGAGATGCAGGGTCTCCATCCCAGCTGGGAGGCCTTTGCCAAGATGCACTATCTAAGCCGAAGTCCAGGCGAGTGGAGGGCATGGTACACCTTAACCACTTACCCAAAATACTTGATGACCCTAAACAAACCGTCTAAGTGGTCAGAGATGGAAAACCCGCTTCTATCTGGTTTCTGCTACCATTAAGCGAGAAAACTTTGAACTTCGCACATACAACTGGAAACCAGACCTTCTAGGACAGAAGTGCAAGTTGCCTCAAATCCCGGATGAGGATTACAAAAAAATAATAGAGGCGGGGTTTTTTGAGCTTATAACCACCACCCTCTCAACCGGATAATTAGTGTACCCAAAAACTTGGTACCTAAACACGAGTTTTTGAGGGACGAGGCGTTTTTGTCCGCTTTTGAGTTTTTGAGGGAGAATGCGGAGAAGAAGAGAGCCGTGCAGGCGGCTAAAAATAAGGTATTAACCGCCTGACTTAACTTCTAATTTACTGCTTTACTTCTTGGTGTACAGACGGTGATAAACCGTTTGTTTAGTTTGTGCCTGGTCCCAGCTTTATGTCTAATTTCTGACTTGTTTTCTAGGAGGGAGACAGGGCTCCTAGATCCTTTTTCAGGGTCATCAGACCAAGGTCTGGTGAGGAGACTTCTGGCAACAAGTCCAGGAAGACCTCGTCTGCTCAGACAGCCTCTCGGGCGACTGTTGGAGGAAAGAGTCTATAAATATGCGTAGACCTTGCCTCCCAGCCGGATGCTGCTGCGGTGCCATCTAGTGTCCCGCCCCCTAGGGCTGCAGGCGATTTGAGCCTTCAACCGCCTCACCAAGGTATTGCTGAATTCTACAACTCCCTTGAGCTTGGCTGACCCATGCGGGTCAAGTCACATTCTCGTCTTCAGTCAGAAGGTTCCTCTGGCAGCCGGCAATCTATTGGAGGCAGTTATGCTGCTTTCTGACCATCTCTTTCTAGTGCAGATATGTATCCTCGATGGCCGGATGTACAGTAGTTTTCCAAGGACATACTGAAGGTCGTCTCCAAGGAAGAGAAGCAGGCCATCCCGGGTATACATGCGTTCAACGTTGACCGCATCCTGGCCCAACTGGCTGAGGTATGAATGTTTCACTTACAGTTTTACTGACTTCTTAGTATTTGCCGACTGCACTTTAACGCTTTTAATATACAGACGATGCTGCGGGTGGAGGGGCTGAAGAAGTCGTATGCCCGGAAATAGGAAGAGGTAAGGCGGGCAAAAAGAGCCGATATCGACACGTCTGATGTTGCTTAGTATCAAATGATTATTCATGACCTCGAGACTAAGTCTATGCTTTTGTAACAGGCGGAATCTCTCAAGCGGCTTCAAAAATCCCTCGATGAGGCCAACACCAAAATCCATATTCTGCAGGCGGCAGTTGACAATGCTGAGCTCGAGCTAAAAAAGAAAGATGATGCTCTCAAGTCCTTGGATGAAACCAAGAAGGAGAATACCTCTTTAAAAGCTGATAATGACCGCCTACTGAAGGAAAGGGCCACCGCTGAGAAAAACTTCAGGGCCACATTGGAGGCTGATTAGAGCCGGCTCATCGAGGTGAATGAGCACGACTGTGAAAACCACATGAGGATAGCTTGGTCCTCCTTTGAGTCCAAAGGCGGAGTACAACACCTGGGAACTTGCATACAAATATGCTGATCTCGCTATTTTGGCTAAGGAAGAGAACCAGCCCGAGCCCTTCCAGGACTGGCTGAAGAAGGAAGCCGCAGCCATCGAGGAGGAGGAGGAGGCGGACTCTGAGAGGGAGGAAGAGGATCACGAGGAAGTCCAAGAGACCTCTGCTCCGGTCCCGCCTGCCAAGGATGTTGCCTCTACCCCGACTCAGTAATTAAGCTACTTGTACTTCCGGCCTGCGTGCCGTGTATTTTATGTCTTTTCACCGGATGGGGATCCGGTTAACAATTTTTCTCCCGGCCTTTTAGCCGGCTTTTAATGAAATTTTCTACCGGCTGAAGTGTCGGCATTTGTCCAATCGTGCTTCAATCTTTCAATTCTTGCAATTTTGCTAAGTATCTGAACGCATGCGGGTTTTTATTTTTTAGCATTTTATGTTAAGTACCAGAGTGCATGCGGTTAACTGGTTGCACCAGGCTAATTTGCCCCTGGACGGATGTTTGCTTGGTAATTGTCCCAACCCAAGCGTGCAGTCGTCCAATAAACGTCTGGTGGACGTCAAGCGGTCATTGACCGTCTCTGAAACAATTCTCAATTTTTAATTCTAAGTTAGAATAACAAGCAGTTTTCTCTATGGTGTCATGGTTCCAACTTGAATTTTTTGAATAAACCGGCTGTGACTTACCCCTTGGGTTAGTCAATCTTTGCCAGCTGTTTAATAGCAAGCGGTCATTGACCGTGTGCAGGTGTCTTAACCAAGTTACGTTTTAGCTGCTAAGGTTTTGACTTAACGTAAATCTTCAATTATGATAACCGTTTATATTGCTACTTTACAATGACCGGTTATATCCAACCAAGATATTAGTTACCGTTTGTATTGCCTTTGAGCAATAACCGGTTATATCCAGATCTCAATTGATTATTCAAACAACTGCGAGTTATCTTA